TCGAGATCCGTGCGAGGCAATGACCTGTACGGATGGAGGGACCCCGCCCCGTACATGATGCAGCTCAAGCGGGACAGCGTCTAGCAGTCCCTTGTATGGAATTCCGTGAGCACCAAACTCGCGTCACAGGACTGGGCACGCTACATCGACATCGTGGTACTGGACGTCGTGCCCCGGAGGGATGCCTTGTTCTCGGCCGTGGCTAGCGAGGTGTCGGTGCAACACCCGTTGCATGAACCCATGTCTCAGGCCACCGCCCGCCACACCTGAGGGCCGCTTCCCTGCGGTTGCGTGGGCAAGCTACGGCCGCGAGTGTCTGTGCGGTTGCGTGGGCAAACTACGGCCGCGAGATTTTTCTGCGACAGACGCCAAAAAATTGGAGGACCGTGCTGTCGATTCACGAGACTGTGTCGTCGTCGGTCGTGCTATTGCTTTGCTCGGTCCTGAGGTCGACGACCTATGTGCATCAAGCCAGAAGCTTAGCTTGGTGGGACCTGCACTTCTCCTTAGGATTTAGGCAAGCAGGTCCGAGCAGGAGCGCGGGCGAGGTGGCAAGAAGGAACGGCGATGGAGCGATCCGCGCAGTTTCCCGCTGCAGGCCAAACCGCGGCTGGCGACGCGCGGCGATGCCGAGGACGTGGAAAATGCATCGTCTCGCGTCGGCTCTCCTGCACTGTTAGAGTTCTCGATGTGCGTGTCCGGAGGTAGGGTAGCCTTGAAGCCCAAGTCTTGCCGTTCGCATGATGTTGGAGCTTGCCAGTTTCATTTTTGTGGATTATCCAGTATCTTGACCGACGGTTTTTGCCAATCATTCAGTTCCGTTCAATCACTACCGACAACATTCATATTCCTCCGATCGACTTTAGGCTTCTTTGCTGCACACCACCGAACTCCGATTGAAGGCGACTTCAGAAAGCAACTTGCTTCGTAGCCATCGTTAGCTCGAACTTCTGACGGCGAGACCTTCATGACTTCCTGCCCATCCTGTCGGCTGTCCAACTGCGCCGTCGTTCTGACCTAAGCAATATCGTACATATCCGCCAGAGCTGTTTACCATGAATTGTGCTGAGGTGCGCCTCTTCGGCGTCAAATTGATCGGTCCTTGTCCCATCTGCCTGGAGGCAGTTCAATGAAATTCGTAGTAACCGAGTATCGCATGATGTTTTCCCGTCGGAGGACACGGCGGAACGCATTTGCGCATTCACACCGTGCGGACATACAGTCTGCGAAGAATGCGCAGCCGGGATCCAGCAGCGTCGGAGACTGAGCGACGCGATGCACCACATGCGTGTGTGTGAGATTTTACTTCCAAGGCTCCACGTCTGCGTCTGAGTTCGCTTCTCCGGTGGACACCTCGTCTGCCGCCTCCGGCTGCTGCCTTAGATCGCACTCGGGTCTTATGGATCGGCTCGCACCCTAGCGTGCAAGCGAAGGACCGACGCAGCCTCCCTGGATCTCCAGCAACACGACACCGGTTTTCTCGGTACGTCCGGATCTTACTTTCGGATCGAACAGACGACCTGCTCTCTCCAACACCACGTAGGCGAAGACGACCCTTTCCAATGGCTGGGCCAAGAGGTAATCTGGACTTTCCACTCCAACTTCAACGAGGCGCCGATGAGCGACGCGAGACTTTAGCTTCATCGACATCACACCAAGATCGGACCGACGCGCGCGTCTCCTCACTTAGGTGGTGCTGCAAGTGACCGGGACGAACCGTCTGTGTCGACTCGGCGACTGGAGCCTTTCCCCGCCGGCCCCGGCTGGGTACACAAGTATCTGGCTCAGGCCGAGGGGCTCGACAAATCGTCGGTGGGTACTGCATCCAATCGCGGCGTGATCACTTGCGACCAGAAAAGGGCGGTCGGTAAGCAAGCTATCTACCGGCATTTAGGCAAGCAGGTCCGAGCAGGAGCTCGCCACCGCACCTCGAGCGTGATCATTCAGCCTCACGAAGTCCCGCCCTCGACCTGCGTCCCTGCCTCGCCCGCGAACATGCGGTGCTTCGACGTGGACGACGTGTCGTCCCTAGGGAGACGCCATTCGTGGGCACAAGGCCAGGAGCGGAGCGGGGGTCATTCTGGACATCGCCTCTTCTCACACAACTGCCGTCAGGACTCGCCTGTCTGCAATCGGAGGAACGGACGGCCCTGGCGCTGCAACGCAGCCTCACAACGCTCGCGCGCGCCCACATGCGTGTGGTCCAATCCGTCCGGGTCCACGAGGCCTTGGCACTGCTAAGCATCTTCGGCGGCGGACGGCACGGAGCGCTGGCGGAGCTGGTGGCCGCTGCCTCGGAATCCTTGCGTGCCCTTGCATGGCTAGAGGAAGGTTTCGACGAAGCCTAGTGTTGCTGCATGAGAACCAGGCCTCCTTCCTCGTGGAGCCGCTCGCAGTCCCCACTCGCGTGCCGGCCATCCTGCTGGAGCCGCTTCGCGTGGCCGTGCCGGCACAGCCCCACCTCATCCCTCCGCTGCCGGCCGCGAACGAGTTACTGCAGCTGTGGTATGCAGCCGGGATCTCAGTGTGAGTGTAGCTCGACACGAAGCTTCCCCGAGAACAACCTTTTCCGCGGCAAGTGACAGGTTCAGGCGGCACGTCAGCTGAATGCGACGCGCAGACAGATGCTCCTGGAGCTGTGGCGCCGCGTTGCCGGATTCGAGAACACAGAAGGAGCACTGCTGCTGCAGCTGGGAGTCATCTGAAGGTCAGGCCTGGCCGAGCGGCAGCTCGGTCGCCTTGAAGCCCAAGTCTTGCCGCGTTCGTCTAGTGTTGGAGCTTGCCACCGACCAGGCACCCGTCGCGGAGCACGGGAGTGTCCAGCGGCCTTCACTGAAGCAGCGGCACGTACAGAGCTGCACCGTCCGGACCTGTCGCGAGCGATTCGCACCGCGAACGCGAGAGACCTTTGCGATTCTCGGGAAGCGGCAGAAAGCCCGAAGCACCTGCCGCTCCTCAGTCAATCCACTGTCGATGCACTGTGGAAATCTTCCAAGCCAATGTCAGTTGCGTTGTAAGTGCTTTTCGCAGCACGGCAAGGCACCAGACACACGTTGCTCAGGTCCCAGGACGCGTCAGCCCAGTATAGAGAGATTGCTTCCCGTAGCTCCGTCCGGGCAATGCACTTGCACACCGTGGATGACATGTCTTCCTTGGAGCGCCGCTGTTATTTTCACGCAGGCTCGCGGGCTTTCAGAAACACCGCTCCAAACCATGTGATCTCGTTCGGCCTATAGCCCAGGAAGCGCCTGCCTCCGCTACGAGGAACAACTGGGCGAGGCGCTGCAGCGCAGCCTGATCCTATTGCAGTGCGCTCACGCCCGCACCTCGGAATCCGCTCGCATTCTTCGGGTCCTCCGGCTCCTGCCCTTCTTCCGCGGCGGACGGCGCGGACCGGTGGCGGAGCTGGTAGCGGCCCGGCTGCAGCAAGGTGCCGAAGCAAGAGAGACAGGGCTCAGCCGGTCCGGCACACAAGTTTGTCGCCGCCAGGCGTCCTTCCTGGTGGAGCCTCTGATGTACCGGACGCCTATGCCGCCAATCCTGCAAGAACCACGTCGCATGGACGTGTCACCTTGGACCTACGGGAATAGCCCGGCGACGGCGGTGCCAGAGGATGGGCTGCTGCACCTGTGGTACGCGGCCGGGCACATAAATCGTTTGCAAGTCGCGTGACGGCCCTGAAAGCCACCCGCATCGCTAGATCGCAGGTGCGCGCGGCGCGGGATCTCAATGCGAGACGGCGGCAGCTGTTGCTGGAGCTCTGGCGCCACGTCGCCGGCCTCGAAAACTTGGAAGGACTTCTGATGAGGCAGCTAGGACTTCTGTGAAGTTTGACGGCCGGCATTAAGACTGCTTGCAAGCCGAGCAAGCGTCAGTCCGACCGGCACAGAGGCAGTATAGGAGGCACGGATGCCGCAGACTCGGACGCCGCCGCTCTGAAGTTGCGCTAGAGTGTTAGCAAATTCGCATCCCAACACAACAGCTCCGGCGGGTGGCGTTCTGCCCTCTTGCAGCGCGGAGAAGTCCCCGCGAGAACGAGGCACGGCCGGAAAAGGCTGGCACTAGCGCAGGTCGAAGGTCAGCGAAGTCGTCAAGAGGTCAGCCGCAACTCCGAGGAAGCAGTTCGGTTCAAGTCCGCGCCCCGCAGCTACTTTCCGGATCGTGGCAGCCATCAGCTCGGTCGTGGCTTGCCAGCAGCATGCACCCTATTGGCTGCAGCCGTCGGGCTAGAAGATTCAGCAACTGAGGCCATGCTGCCTCTCTACCTGCCGTGGCTGCTTCCGTGGGGGGCTGTCATCATATCTCCGAAGCAGACCAATGTCACTTTCTGCGCTGCAGGATAACAGGAGCGGTCTTGACGCGAACAGAGCACTTGAGCATATTGGAGGCCGGCCCCGCCGCAGCACGCCAAAAAGGGTCTGAGAGACTGTTCTTGAGGCCCTACGAACTGCTGCCAGACGAGAAGGTTAT